TCATCAAAGGTGAAACGGTGGGTCGTTTTGACGTTGTTGTTATCGTATCCGTGTTCACAAAAATATCTGCATTTGTACCATGTAATAATAATATGCGCAAGTGGGCATATAGTTGCATCATAGGCATTTGATTTGTACTTAGTTTGGGGATGGGTCTTGGTAGCAGCTAGCAGCAGGGTGTTCTTTCATTTCGGCATATTGAGTCTGTTATTATTATTATTTTTTTTTACCATTATTAGGTCATTCGTCATTGTTGTTTTTTTACTGGCAATTGCTTCGGAGTCGGGATTTGTTTTGACTTATCGAGTGAATATTATATTACAGTATTTTTATTATAAACTTATTTTTATACTTGTATCTTATGCCCGATAATTTATGCAAGTATTTAGCTGGTCTAAGTAATTTTCTGTTTTAAAGTTGGCTCTTGATTTCCTGTTCAGGATCTCTCTCTCGTCTTGTAGTTTTTGCGAGAATTCTGTCTTTTTTTTCTTTTTTGGTTTACTGTATTTTATTTATTAGTATGATTGTCATTGCACGTGATATATCAATTAATTTTGAAAAATAATTTGTTTTCGAGAAAAACTGGCCATTGGATTTGTAGTCCCTTTTCTTTAAGCCATCTTAGAAATCATCAGTTCACTTATTTGCTCAGATTGTTACAAACTTGAATACAGACCTTTTCACTGGAGATTTTGCTTTTCTTTGGGGTAGCACCGGTCGGCATTAGTTTGGCGTTGAATCTGACCAACCATTTTGGTTTGGTCGGTCGATTTTGGTTTGAACCAACCATTTTTATTGGAGATTCAACTGGTTGGTTTGGTCGGCCGATTTTGGTTTAATTTCTATTGGCTGCTCAATTTAATGAAAGTCGGTTTTCTATCACTTTGTGAAAGTTATAGGTTTCAAATTTTGTGGTGTTAATTGTTAATCAAGATTTACTATTTTAAATATTGATCTATATTATTTTTAGATTAATCAGCATGATCTGGAGTGAATTGGATACATTAATCGATTGATAATAGGTTTTTTTTTTTTTTTTGAGAAGAATTGATTGATAATAGTTTTAATTAGTGAACAATTTGAAGCATTTTTTTAAATAATAAGGTTACGGGTGTCTTGCCTTCGGTCGTTTTCACTCAAATAAATGGCCCAGTTGACGGTCCAGGGCTAATGTTTTACGATCCGTCAATAGCCCAAATCAGGTGCTGAGGTAACGGTTTCTGGGCCCACGCCATTCTTGATTGAGGCCCATATCTGTGGCTGGCCCACTTTTTACTGGGTGGATGTTGGGCCACTCGGCCCTTCTTCAACCTTGTGGGCCTACTTGAGAATCGCAGATACGGGTGTCTCCGACCCTCCTGTCCATATCCTAGCATGTTTAAACATTATATTCTGACATTTACTGTTTTAACACTTAAACCAATATCATTTTTATACATGATGATATTGACCACCTCAATGTACCAACGCATCAATACAAAAACACGTTAGAATTACATAAATACCCAAATTCTTATGTCGATAGTGATACATACTCTCAACACAGTTCCAATGGAAGAGGAACTTGTAATATTTAAACTCTTTAAGAATACATAAATATTCTCAGCCGGGTTGAGCGGTGGTTTATTCATCATTGAAAAATATCTCTACAATTATCTAAATTTGGGTATAAATATCAAAGTAGTCTCATTTTTCTTATGTAACATTTTTTCTCATTCCATCAAAACTTCATACTATACAAATATACATCCCTTTACAAAATATTTGATCATAATTTGAAAAATAATTTTCTAACAAAGTGTTATGTTTTCAATTTTTATTGTTAAATAAAAACATAATTCAAGCTGAAGAAGCATTATGACAATCTGGATATTAAATTTCAATCAAAACATCGATATTTCTACGTGTTCATAAATACGAAATCAATGATCAAGCTGTAAATTGATATTACCTTGCAAACAAAAGGGACAAAACAAAAATAAAATATCACTAAAATGTTACTAATATTGACCTTGGTTACGCTTGAAAGAGAAACATGTGAAAAGCGTTTGAAATTGAATTAGCGCCTTTTAAGTTTCTAATATCTAATAAAATTCCGGGGGATTCTATTTCCAGTATTGTTTTGGCGGGTACGCTGAAAGTTGGGGGAGGGCATTTACGTCATTCTTGAAAATATCGATGGCTAGGGTTTCGTTATCCGGTGTATATTAAGTCGGTTTTTTTTCTAACCTAAAGCGGCTGAGATTGAGAAGCCGTGAACTTCTGTCGGTTCGATTCTTCATCATCTTCTTCCTCTCTCTCTCTCTCCGTATTCGTGCCACACTCTGCTCTCTCTCTCTCTCTGCATGTCGGTTTCATCTTTTTCGTCTGCCAAATTTCGATAAGCTCGTCTTTCACTGCTGCGGTACCTGCTGTTCATCACATTTTCACTTCCAGTAGTGATTTTGTAGTGCCTTTGTTCGTCTGATCTCTTGTTCCGATTCGACTTCGGCTTGTTCGGTGCATTTCCTTCGATTTTATGACTCCAATTCGTCTCGCTCTCCCTGGATCATCAATATCCACTTTCGATTTCGAGTTTCGGTGCTTATTTTCTTGGCCTGTCTCAGATCTCTGATATTTCTACTGAAAAATGATGGATCCGATTGAGGAAGTGAGTGATCGCGATCCGCGAGCCTTTCTTGAGCGAATGCTCTTACTGATTTTGAAAGTAAAGAGTACTGATTAGGTTGTACTGTGCTCGAATGTAGGGATCGGAGTTCAAGGACGCCGGAAGATCCCCGAGAAAGGCGTCGCCGGCGGAAAGCGAGCAGAATAGGAAGACCTGCGCCGATTGCGGGACGACCAAAACTCCTCTCTGGCGCGGAGGTCCGGCCGGCCCTAAGGTGATTTGTTCATCTCCATCTCTGAACTTGATCACATACTTTGTTTGGTTCTCCATTTCTGATGCTCGATTTTAACGATCGAAGCTTTCTTTCGCAGTCTCTCTGCAATGCGTGTGGGATCCGAAGCCGGAAAAAGAGGAGGTCGCTTCTAGGTTTGAACAGGGGGAGCGAAGTGGAGAGAAAAAACAAAGGAAGCAGTAACAGAACCAGCAATGGCGGTGGAAATCAAGCAAAAATTGGGGGAGATAACTTAAAATGGAGATTAATGGCTTTTGGTAGAGAAGAATTGATGCAGAGGAGACAGTTAGGAGAGGAAGAACAAGCTGCTGTTCTACTGATGGCTCTATCGTATGGATCTGTATATGCTTGAAGTGCTAAAAGATTTTGGAGTAGTTTTTTTGTGAGCTCTCTGATTTCTAGATTCCCTAACCATAACTGTAATGTAGCATCTGCTTCTTCTCTTCCTCTGTTCTTCAATGGATTGATTCTCTTTTGTTCTGTAATTTCTAGGGTTTTTTTTTGGGTGGGAAAGAGAATATAGCTCAATTTGTTTTTGGAAATGTAGAGATCGGAACAAGTGTTTGGAAATTAATTCTATTCAACCACAAATGGAAATTGGTGTTTATTGGTTACTGTTGCCCAACAGTCCAGATCCTGAAAGCGAGTAATTGAGGACATTCCCTTGTGTCTGAAGACTCTGAACTTAGGTTTGAATTTTTTCTCCTAAAGGGAATGTTCCTTATTTTGTCAATTGTTTATAATAATTGAGATCTAAATTAATCATATTTTGGTTCAATTTCACTCTAATTTTTTGGTTGATCTCTAAAGTTCCATGCAATTTCGCATCGTTGTGTTTTTCAGGCCTTTGGAACATATCAATTTATTTATTTATTTTATCTTAAGTTTGGAACATTGACGAGATAATTTTGTCAATGATATGAAATGATGCTGATCTGAATCATCTTTTTTAGAACTGTTCCAAGCATAGGGAGTGTCCTGTTTAAGAAACAATTTATCTATTATCATATTGTTGGAACTTTCATCATTTTGATTTTCATCCTTTTTTTAGTCCTTTCCACCTTTGAAAAATGACCGGTTTGAATCTTTGTTTATTTTAGTCTTCTATCTTTGAAACATCTATTTTGGTCTTTTTTTTTTCTTCCTCGTCTCTCCTCGTCTCTCTCCTCTAAGAGGATGAGAGTTTGGTCCCTCTATTTATTTCATTAGCATCACACTTGGATTCACTATATTTCTTAAAAATGTAATTCTGAATTTGTAATAAACGGTTTCTATTGGGTATAAAATTTGTATTAAAATTTTGTAAATAAGGATCGATTGATTATTTAGCAAAAATTGAAAGTATAAAGATTAAAATAAACCTTTTAAAAACGAGCTAAAGTCAAGGTCACCTATCTTAAGCATTAGTAATTCCTATTTATTTTCTGGTACCAAATGTCGTAGGATTAGACGGTTGTCCTATCGAGGTGGGCATAAACTGGCCCGGAAACTCGCGGATATGGAAAGAAAAGGATATTGAAAGAAAAGTTAAAATAAAGTAGGATAGAAAAAAATAGTATTTAAATCTATAATTTAATCTAAACTATAATCATTGTGAAACCCATCATTTGTTCAAAGATCTTTTAGCACAACTATCTGTGAAGTGAAAAAGGGCTTTACACACAATTTATCATATGGCAAGGGAGAGAGGACTATGTAATCTCGCAGTACCATTAAAAAAAAGAGGAAAGGATGATTAAATGTGTTGTTCCCTCTAAAATGATTTTCAAATAACTTTTTCAGAACTGAATATCATTTTTAAAACGGATACCTTCGGACTCGGATTTTTTTTTTTGGTGGCTAAATTAAAAAAAAAACCGGTGAATTTTTAGCCATGGTTGCATACAATACTCATATCCTTTCTTTAAAAGAAAAAGAAAAAAGACACAAAAAGAAACTCTTATCCTTTCAAAAGTTTTAATACTATATCGTTGACTTAAAGTGTTTCAAAAATATCATTTGAGTAAATATCTGTTAATAGTTTGAACGAAAAGTTGATGTGGTAGGATCTAGAACGACGTGATATTTAACGTGAAAGCTTATCTGGATTAAGTTTGAAAAAGAGAGGAAATGTAGAAAAGCTATCATTTTTGTTGGAGGGTAAAATATAACTTGTTAAGTGGAGAGGTAGGATAGATTGGTATGCTAGACTTTCCTTAAAATCTCGAAAATATGAAGTGATCGGTGTTTGAAGTTTGACCAATTATGACATGATAGTATGGTCTAATATATCCCCGTTGGTTGAAGCAAGCACAATGTGCTTAGATAAAAAATTCAGCCTATGATAATCGACCTCTTACTGACTTGAGTGTTGGAGCGTGTCTATTTCCATTGTGCATGTCATTTCTCACTAAGGTTGCTTTGAAAGCTCAACCATACCCAATCTACACCAATTCTCGAGTCAAATAAAAAATCACCATAAAAAGTTTTCAAAACGAAGAGTAGGACAAGTTTTGGTAGATAATAGAAAAGTAAATTGTATTGATACTGCAGTAACAAGACTTTCAAGAAAAAAAAAATTAAATAGACAATTCATGCAAACCCTACCACGTCCTAAATATTGAAATTTTTGCTAAGAGATCTTAAGACATTCGAGTATAAAAACAGATCATGGTGAAATAATTTTGAAATAATTTGAAAAAGAGAGAGAGGAGAGGGGGAATATGATGAAGCAACATATCATAAGAAAAAAGGGAGACAGTAAAAAGGAAGGGTTGTCGTTTTATCCAAAAGGCTATGGAAGAAGTTATTGTTCCGTTGGTACGCCGCTTGCTCTGCGTCCACATTTTCGGGTAGCTGCCCAGCCTGCCCTAACCCTAACAGCTGCTGCCCTTCTGTCCTCTGCCAATCTCCGCTTTCCCTTTCTTCCTCCTTTTATTTCACTTCGATTTCCCAATTCAAATCTCATATTTTATTTATTTATTTTTTTGTCATGCGTGGACCATCGTCTTACATTACAGCAAATATATTCTTCATTTATTTCATTTTTTTTAATTTTGAGAGTTTTGTTATTATAGCAAGGATATAGTACATATTTACATATTAATAGAGTATGACATATGAGTTATATTCAATATCACACAAAATATCTTTAATGATAGATTGAAAATTAAAATCATGCCTCCAAACTGAAACATACCCTCCAAATAGAATGCTGAAGTTTAAAAATCATATCTCCATAAAGGAAATAGGAATGGTAAACACAGAAAATCAAACCTCCAAATTGAATGCCAAATTTTAGAAATCATACTCCCAAAAACTATTTGTGTCGTTCAAATAAGGTGTGAGCCGTGTCGGAAGTGATGGAACTTTTTACATCGTTCGAAGGAGGTGAGTCACGTTGGAAAATATCCAGAACTGTTTGAATCACCGATGATCATATTGGAAAGTGTCCTAAACTGTTCTGAGTTGTTTAGAGAAGTGCGCTGTGCTAGAAAGTACAAGGAACAGCTCATCTCGTTCAAGAGAGGTGAATTGTATTGAAAAATCGCTCAATTCGTAAGTCCATTGTTGAAATCATAGGAGAAAACAAAGATGGATGAATATTTAGGTTTTCTACTTTAGAGGGTGAAAAAAGAAAGAAATAGAAAAGAAACGCCAAATAGTTATGGAACTATTTTGCAAATTCAACATGAAACTTTTCTTTCCTTATTTGAGCAAAGTTTAAAATGTCAATGTCGGGGGAAATGTCGTGTTCTCAATTTCATAGAAATATCGATAAAATATTGAGGTAAACTCGTAAAAAACATTTAAATGAAAAAATAAACATTTTTTAAATTCTAAATTAGTTAAAAATAATTAATATCAATATTATGTATATATTAGTGACATTTTGTTGATATTTTTCATATTTTGTCGATTTTCTTTTGCTAGGAAATATTGATTTACCCCTTATGATGTCGAATCTATGAAAACATGGATAAATCGATGGAAATATCTACGTGTGGACGAATATTTAGAACAATGGTATCACGTAAGGAGCGACCTATTGATAATTTGACCGCTATTTGAGCATTAAGCATGTAGCTACTGGGAAAAAAAATCTATACATTGTGGATACTGTTGTTGTATGGATCTTTCCCCACGTGTCTATGCACTTATCACTATTTTATTCAATAATTAGGACAATGGGGTTTTATATATAAAAAAAAAACAAAATAATAAATAATAAAAAATGAAAAGCAGAATGGGCCTAAATAGAATCCGAGCCCAAAGAATATCTATCTAACCGGGCCGGACATGACTGGTTTTTGGGCTTTCAGGTACTGATAAAGTCCTACAGCATGAGCCGAATTCAAGAAATGACAATTCATTTGAAACTTTTCTATATTACAATGGTTCTTTTTTTTTAAAAAAAAAAAATCAATTAGTAAAGCACATATTTCCGATTAAGAGGCCGTGAGTTAGAATCCCTACTCTTAGATATTGTACTAAAAAACAATAACAAAAATCACTTAATAATTTCTCACAATTCAATGAACCTTACTCAATACAATGTCATATCTTTAATAATTATTTAATAGGACTCAATAATTATTGAAACAAATTATTAATAAATATATGTGAAATAGTTAAAGGTGAAAATTTCCTACAACGTCGCATCAATTAATAGATAAGATTCTAGAGCTATCGAAATAATACTTATTTATTTTTTCTTCTAAAAATGATTAGATAACGGTGGTGAAATTAAAGGGAAACTGAGAGAAAAGTGTTTGGCAAAAGTGAAGAATAGGACATCCCTAATTAAAATAATGGGAGTGGGTTTCTTTGATTGATTGGAAACAAGTTTTATTGGTGCTAAGAGAAATGAAGGAGTCTAGAAACCACGGCGTACGGAGGCGATGCTTAATTTCAAAACTCAGTGCTAAGTGTCACAACCATACTAGTAGAGAGTAGGTTGTGACGTCCACGTAGTGTGCAAGTGTCAGCGACAAGCATATGTCGCCCATCGGGCCATGTCAAGGACCGAGAGTGAAGTGCCGTGATGCGACCAAGGAGGATGGTGCATCACCTATCACACCATATGGATGTGCTCAAGAATGCCTAGAGAAGGCATATGCAGAATGCAAAGCGAAGGCAGCGTCAGTGGTGTCGGTGACAAGCTCAACAGGGGCCAGTTGGGGCCCCGGGCCACGACCCTAGAAGTTGGGGTTCCGTCGAGAGTTTGGACGAGCGGCTTTAAAGTTAGATGCATATTAGTGAGATATGTAAGCACGCCAAGTTTCGTGTCAATCGGAGTTCAAACGTGCACTCTACGTTGGCGAGTGACTCCTCGCCACTTTCGACGTTCATGCCTGCCAAGTCAAGTTTGCCTTAGAATGTACCTTAGGGGGAGGCATGGTGTTGGCTCTCCACCACCCCTGGGCCATGTCAGGGCCTAAGTGAGCCACCCCATGGCACATGCGTGTGTCATGGCGAGGGCGAGCATGTACAAGACGAGTGTCTTGGGC